GAGAGAGAGAGAGAGAGAGAGAGAGAGAGAGAGAGAGAGAGAGAGAGAGAGAGAGAGAGAGAGAGAGAGAGAGAGAGAGAGACAGAGAGAGAGATTATGCTGGTGGGTAGGGGAAGAATTGGGACAGCAGTAGTGGGAATTGTGATTGCATTGAGTCTGGTTTTCATCCAGGCAGAATAAAAGCTGTGAGAGGTAAGCTCTTGATTAGATACAAAGAATGCATCCGGGGAGAGGGGGGCCAGGAAAAAGAGTCGAGCAAGGATTTAGCGCTCAGTATTTCGCTTTGGCTAGTCTGTGGACATTGTCCACATTATTTTTTTGTCTTTCTGCTTTGAATGTGTATTTCTGTTAGGTATGGTGCATGGTGAAGGCTCAAGCAATTTTTATGAGCTGAAGTCTTGATTGCGGTAGGCTGTTGAAAATGCGTACGTTGAGCTTGATGCTGCAGTTCTCCGACTTATCTTCTGGATTTCTAAATGTGTGTCTCGACTCTCGATTGACGTCGACATTCCGCCTCCTCTACCTCAGTTAGTTGTGCAGGACCACAGCAGCAGCAGCAGCAATCCCCAAGATGTGCCCGTCTAGCCACAAGACAGCAGCAGCACACCTCGCGAAGGTGCATGAATCATGATATAGAAGCTGCTGCTGGCCCATCTACAAAGGTGTGCAGAGGCGGACAGATCATCATTTCAATGTATACGCCGGTGGCTTTACAGCGATGGGAATACATGGCGATTTTTTTGACGCATGTGTGCAGCCAGGGTTGTTTTCACACACTGGCCATGTAGGTATGATGTACACAGGACACCTGCGCACTGCCTTGGGAAGTTGGTGCGTAGGGTTCTCTTCTCTTTCAGCTAGTCAAGTAGGAGGAGCACAAGCCTGGGAACATGAAAGCTGGCTTTGTACAGAAAGGTGCAGTAGCCTAGTAGTACCATGACAGTGGGCTTTGTACAGAAAGGTGCAAAGGAAAAAGGACACCACTCATGATGCAGCCACGAAGAAACTTACGCTGAAAATAATGACAGAACCGCACTGGAGTCTGTGCCAGTGGGTAAAAAGCTTTATGGAACTGGAAAGTCTGTGCCAGAGTGACTTGGGTGGGGTGAAACACACTCCCCTCCCAAGAACACGGTATCGGCACAGCTGTGACTTGTTAGGGCTCACGGTCAAGCTCCCTATTTGTGCGCATGGCAGCAGATGTGCATTCCTTTGGTGTATCAATTGCCTCCTCTGGTGGGTGGGTTGGAGCCAGTGCTGATCCATCGAAGGACGCATCTTTCCCGAGTCCATCGAAGGACGTATCTTTTTCCGATTCCATCGAAGGACAAATCTGTCCTGCAGAGCTGTGATTGTTGAGCGTGGGGAGACCGTGGTCGGCGGCAGAGATGCGCATAGATGTCGGCGGGCGACATTTTGTGCATTGGATTCGGGTGTGGGATGCTCGAGGCAACACACGTTACCTGTGCAGCTGAGGCACAGCACATTAAGCCTCAGCGTTAAGAACTGTGCGGACGATCGACGCGCGAAGAGAGGGCAACACAGGTGTGTCGTGCCGTACTGCAATGAAAACTGCCTGTGGTGGTGGGTTGTGGTCTGGATACAGGGAGTCCAGTGTAGGGGGCCTACCTATCGGTAGGGGCCACATCTTGAGGGCAGTTGTGATGGTTGTTGCTTTACTGCAATGAAAACTGCCTGTGGTGGTGGTTTGGGGTCTGGATGCAGGGAGTCCAATGTAGAGGGCGGGCACATCTAGAGGGCAGCCATGATGGCTGTCCATCTAGATAATTGCGGTTGATATGTGAAGGAACTTTTTTCTGGTGGTTTAGCTCCTGATTCTGTGTGGTTTGGCTCTTGATGGACAAAAAGCTCACACAATGCCATCATCAGTCTGGCTGTGAGCGACAGGGTTTAGCACCGAGGTAGCCGTGGACGAGAGGCAATCATCATGGAGAGCTCCATAGGCAACACGTGGAAGACCTTGTATGGAAAATGAACTGGCAAGCCGCGGTGTAGATGTGCCTAACGACAGATTGCTAAGTGCAGTTGTGACCTAACAAGAGGGTTTGTGATCGGCGGGATGTTGGTTCATGAGGAATATGCGCAAAGGGTTGGCAATCTGGAGTGGGCAGAGACAGATGTGTGGCCAAGGGTTTGTTATCTTAATTGCAAATAGATCTGTGTAGAGGGGGTATTCTGAATGTGCCATAGATTCTTCACGTACCAACGTTAGAAAAGAATGTGGAGTTGTGAAGAGAGAGGGCTTAAACCACCAGTACCTCCACATTTTTAGGTCGTTAATGCGGTGGCTGAAACTGTGCGCCGCACGGGTTCCTATGCATTTGAATCAGAGACTCCCCAGAGGGGGGTCTTAGGTGGACTTGTGAAGAGAGAGGCTTAGTGAAATAAATGTGTATCTATCAATGGGAGGGTAGGCCCTATCGTAGATGTCCTGGTCATCTTTAGCTTTTAAATTTGTTCTTCGTCAGTGAAGTATGGCCTGTAGGCCCATGTAGGGTTATTTTAATCAGATCATTGTGAAGCGTTTGGACCGGCATTTGACCAGTTGTGAGGCTCTCTGGTTGAATGATGGATTGCCAATAGGCTTGTCTATGCCAATAGACTCTTTGGAAACAATGCGGAAGAAGGGCAGACTGTCATCCGGCAGCGGAATTATGAGGTATTGGAAAGGCAGTGACAGAGATGGTGATGGCAGGGCCAGAGGGTGAGGGCTCAATGGTGCATGATCTGAAGGTTTGCAGGGTGGACAAGAAGCTTAGCTTCTTGCGTCTTTGAAACCCTTGCGAGATTGCAAATAAAAGAGAGAGAGAGAGAGAGAGAGAGAGAGAGAGAGAGAG